GCCCTTTGATATGTGAGGGGGCATTAACCCCTTCCTGACCAGTGGCCCCCTGATAAGTGAGGGGGATTAACCCCTTCCTGACCGGCGGCCCCTTGATGATAAGTAATGGGACATTAACCCCTTCCCGACCAGCGGCCCCTGATAAGTGAGGGGGGATTAACCCCTTCCTGACCAGCGGCCCCTTGATAAGTGAGGGGGGATTAACCCCTTCCTGAACTCGGCCCCTTGATAAGTAATGGGGCATTAACCCCTTCCTTACCAGCGGCCCCCTGATAAGTGAGGGGGGGAGTAACCCCTTCCTGACCAGCGGCCCCTTGATAAGTGAGGGGGGATTAACCCCTTCCTGACCAGCGGCCCCTTGATAAGTGAGGGGGCATTAACCCCTTCCTGACCAGTGAACCCTTAATAAGTGAGGGGGGATTAACACCTTCCTGACCAGCAGCCCCTTTATAAGTAATGGGGCATTAACCCCTTCCTGACCAGCGGCCCCCTGATAAGTGAGAGGGGATTAACCCGTTCCTGACCGGCGGCCCCTTGATAAGTGTGGTGGCATTAAACCCTTTCCTAATCTGTGACCCCCTTGATCAGTGAGGGGTGGGGGCATTTGGTCCTTCCTTGATTGTCAGCCTCGGCTGTGTTTGTGTGTTTAGGAAGCAATTGAACCTTTCTTGACCAGCAGCCCCTAATAAGTGGGGTGAAATTAATTCTTTCCTGGGGTGGGGGGGGGGCATTAACCCTTTCCTGACTGGAGGCCTCAGTTGTGTTTGCACACGCATGTGTGTGTGTGTGTGTGTGTAGGGACAGTTGACCCTTTCCTAACCAGGGGCCCCCTGATAAGTGGGGGGGGGGCATTAACCCCTTGCTGGCCAGTGACCCCTGAAAAATGAGAGGGTAATAACCCCTTCCTGACCAGTGGCCCCTGATAGGAAAGGATGAATGCCCCTCTCACTGAAGTGACAACTCTTGATAAAATTGGGGATTATCCCTTTCTGGAGTAACATATTGAAAAAAAAAAAATCAGATTGATCGTGCTTAGCGAACACTCAATCTTCAAGTTTTTGAATGCGCTTGTTGGGGTTCTTTTTTTAGGAAAGCAGGCGGCACGAAGCGCGAGGCCTGGAGGCCGGAGATGACAGGCAAATGGCTTTACCCCGGAGAGCAAACACTTCCCTGCAGCTGACCTCCTACTGACAACTCATATTAAGCAGATCCTGATGTAACTACAGCCAGGCCCAGCATCAGCCCGAGATGAAATGTCGCCCTGAAACAACGAGGCCACCGAGAGGCCAGGCCCTATCACTCATTCGCACTCACATATTTTTTGAATAAAGCCCCCCCCCACACACACACCACCACCTCCTGCCCGCCTCGTCATGGCATTTCCACTTTTTCCATCATTTCCTTTTTTTTGGATAATACAAAACAGTTTTTTTTTTTCTAAAAAAAAAAAAGGTCAACCGTTGGCCAAGCGATGGATCCCAGGCCAGGCCGGAATGACCAAATCCCTCCGATAATTGCTCCACAACCTCCCCGCTTTTCATTACGTAGAGAGCCGAGCAATGGACTTGAGGCCCTTTTGACCTTGCGCAGCCATAAAGGGGGGAGGAGGGCCAGGGGAAAGGCCGGCCACCTTGGCTTTGAAGTGCAACTAGGCCAAAGTTCAGGTTTATGAGTTGGAAGTCCGTGACCGAGAGGGAGGGGGGTGGAGTGATTGATACCAAGTTACGAGATGCCGGTTTCCACATTGGAAAAAGATAAACAATGCAAATGAGCCCCCGTAGCAGAAATGGAGGCCTCCCTGTCTCAATAGAGGAGCCGGGGGGGGGGGGGGGGCCCACGTGCATAAATCTGGCCTGTTTAAGGAACATATTCTTTGACCCGGCAGGGGTTGGGGTGGAGGTCGTAGCCGATGTTCACCTAGCCAACCCAAGAGGCTTCAATGAAAAGAAAAGTTCAATGCCTTCTAGGCAGCAAACAGCACCGTAAATCACAAGGGTGCGTCATGGCTTCGGGGGCAGGGTGAGCGCAAACATGGACGCCATCTGCGAGGTGGGGAAACCTTGCGGGGCCAAGCGGATTTATTGCTGTGAGGAGCAGGGGCGGACTGACAACTCATGGGGCCCCCAGGCAATAGGGGATCATGAGGCCCCTGTGTCCTTGCCCAAACTCAAAAAAGCCTATGAAAAAAGGTACCAGTGGCATCTCATGGGGCCCCCTACTGACCCTGGGCCCTCGGGCAGTGCCAGAGTTTCCAAATGGTCAGTCCGCTCCTGGTGAGGAGACATCTTGGATGAAGGTTCGGTAGAAAGCTGAGATACCAAAAGATGTTGACATTCCTTCGAGGAGAACTCCACCCCAAACTCAAAAAAGCCTATGAAAAAGGTACCAGGGTCATCTCATGGGGCCCCCTACTGACCCCGGGCCCTCGGGCAGTGCCAGAGTTTCCAAATGGTCAGTCCGCCCCTGGTGAGGAGACATCTTGGATGAAGGTTCGGTAGGAAGCTGAGATACCAAAAGATGTTGACATTCCTTCGAGGAGAACTCCACCCCAAAGTCAAAAAGTTGAACGTCCAACCTAGCTAGGTGGTTACGTTCAGTACCAGAATTGGTTTGCCCAGCGACCATGGCGAGGATGTGGAACTGCACCCCCCCCCCTGCTGCTAATGGATGATATAGGATGGGTGCACAGTCCTGTGTCCGTTCTCCTGTTACAGGTTCCCATAGTTGGTGTAGAGCGTTTGCACTACGCATGCATGGCCATTCGCTTGTTATCTAACAGCTGTACGGTGGTTGCGCATGCGCAGCATGCTTTTTGAGCTGGCTGCTGATCCTGCCAGTAACACACCTTCTGTCCTAGGGGGACAATGCTCACTCACTGTGCAGAGTTTATGGAGCAGCAGCATTGTCATCGCATGGCAGGACTTCACTTACCTCCCATCTCCTGTTCTCCATAAAAAGGAGGAAGGTGCTCTGTAATCCACCAATTACATAACACGGAGCAAAGAATGGTGCTAACTGAGTGCATCCCAGGGAGAGGGCACAGGAAGTTATGAGTACACTGGATTGCTGGTAGGATCAACAGGTTGTTTTTTGCAAGAGATGGTTAGAGACTGCAGGCATACTACAGGAGATGGTCAGAGATTGCAGACACGCTACGGGAGATGGTCAGAGACTGCAGGCATACTACAGGAGATGGTCAGAGACTGCAGACACACTACAGGAGATGGTCAGAGACTGCAGACATACTACAGGAGATGGTCAGAGACTGCAGACATAGTACAGGAGATGGTCAGAGACTGCAGACATAGTACAGGAGATGGTCAGAGACTGCAGACATACTACAGGAGATGGTCAGAGACTGCAGACATAGTACAGGAGATGGTCAGAGACTGCAGACATACTACAGGAGATGGTCAGAGACTACAGGCATACTACAGGAGATGGTCAGAGACTGCAGACATACTACAGGAGATGGTCAGAGACTACAGACATACTACATGAGATGGTCAGAGACTGCAGACACAGTACAGGAGATGATCAGAGACTGCAGACATACTACAGGAGATGGTCAGAGACTGCAGACATACTACAGGAGATGGTCAGAGGCTGCAGACATACTACAGGAGATGGTCAGAGACTGCAGACCTACTACAAGTGATGGTCAGAGACTGCAGACATAGTCCAGGAGATGGTCAGAGACTGCAGACATAGTACAGGAGATGGTCAGAGACTGCAGACATAGTACAGGAGATGGTCAGAGACTGCAGACCTACTACAAGTGATGGTCAGAGACTGCAGACATAGTACAGGAGATGGTCAGAGACTGCAGACATAGTACAGGATATGGTCAGAGACTGCAGACATAGTACAGGCGATGGTCAGAGACTGCAGACTGTAACTGGAAAGAAGCTGTAGTCCTGATTAATGTCCCCTGAAAGTAATGCTTCATTGTGAGTGAAAAACATGATAAAAAGCTGGAATGAATGTGAGCGGAGTGCCCTCTTATAGCTGGCGGTGTATTCTGGCTGTAAGCGTGCCCCTCCCTGTAATATCAGTCCATCTGCCTCTCCAATCTCCCCTCCTTGGCTGGTATTTCCACTCGGACTTATCTAACAATGCCCCGGCTTTTATAATGACTTCCTGGGCCTTGATTATGGTCCCGGCTTGCCCCGGTCACGGTGTCTCCGAGAGGGCACAGTGGCACGTAGCAACGTCTGGCTCCGGCACGACCTCTTAGTTTGGGAATTGAAATGCATTTTCGGGCCCCGTGCCTGGACTTCTGACCTGAACAAGTGCCGAGCCCGAGTTCAGGACCTTTCAAAGAAGGAAGGTTCCCTCTCTCCGTACCAAGAGATAAGGGCCGACTTTTGTCTGCAAACCCGGAGTGACCTTGTAGTGACTCACAAAGAAAACACGGAGCTTTCTGCACCAACTAATGCCTTCTGGGTGACCTTCTGGTCTTGTGATGTCCTACAAGGTCACAACATTTTTTAAAGGGAACCTTCCAGTCGGGTCAAAAGTCTACAGAAATACTTTTTAATGTGCCATAATATACAGTAGCAAAAAAAAGTTCCACCTTTCATCATTAACCCCTTCCCTACAGGGCACTTGTACCCCCTTCCTGCCCAGGCCAATTTTCAGCTTTCAGCACTGTCACACTTTCAATGACAATTGCGCGCGGTCATGCAACACTGCACCCATATGACATTGTTGCTGTTTTTTGAGACAGATAGAGCTTTCTTTTGGTGGTATCTAATCACCTCTGGGTTTTTTATTTTTTGCTAAACAAACCAAAAACCACTGAAAATGTTGAAAAAAATTTTTTTTCTTAGTTTTTGTTATAAAATTTTGTAAATAAGTAATTTTTTTACTTCACTGATGTGCGCTGAGGCTGCAGTGATGGGCACTGATAGGTGGCACTTATGGGCACTAATTAGGAGGCACTAGTAGGTGGCACTGATGGGCATTGACAGGCATCACTGATGGGCACTGAAAGGCAGCACTCATATATGGTACTGACAGGCGGCACTGATAGGTGGCACTGATTGGCACTGATAGGCGGCACTGATAGGCAGCACTGACGGGCACTGACAGGCGGCACTGATGCGAACTGATTGGCGGCACTGACTGGCACTGATAGGTGGCACTGATTGGCAGCATTGATAGGTGGCACTGACTGGCACTGATAGGTGACACTGAAGGCAGCTCAGATGGGCACTGATAGGTGACATTGATGTGCACTGGTAGGCACTGATATGTGGCATTGATGACGCACTGATGTGCAATGGCAGGTGGCATGGATGAGCACTGACAGCTGGCATTGATGGGCACTGACAGGTGGCACTTCTGGGGCTACACTGATCATCAGTGCCCTGATGATCAGTGTACATGTCCCCTCCGAGGAATGCCGATTACCGGCTCTCCTCTCCTCTGTCAGCGTGACAGCTCGTGAAGAGAGAAATGCTGATAACCAGCATTTCCCTATTTACATGCGAGCAGCTGTGATTAGACACAGCTGATCACATGACCGAGCTGACATCTTTGGCTCTTTCCGTTGATCAGTGATCCGCTGTGTCCGAGGGACACAGCGCACCACCGATCGCCGTGCTGCACGCTCCCGGAGCCACGCACGCGCGGTTAGAATGGAAGGCCGTCATATGACGTCCTTCCACAACGAGAGAACCGCCTTGCGCCCTTCATTTCCTTATATGGCGGGCAGGAGGCAGATAAGATCCACCCCTGAGGTCCAATCCAGTGACTTTACTTAGGCTGACATAATGTCTTCAGTCTGCTGCAGGCAGGAAGAAGAAATTCCCCATTCACTTTTCCCAAGTGATCAGACTACAACTTTGTAACAAATCACAAGGTGTTTGTAATAAAACTGCACAGATTTCTGAGCTGACATCTCAGCCAGGAACTACCCTGAATGATGTCTGAACAAATATGGTGCCATCCTTCTGGAGAGAAAAGCAGATGACGGCATTGTCAGTGGGAGTACTGGAACTGTAAAATGTAGCTGATGCATTTCGGGGGGCCAACAAACCCCCTTATCCTGGAGTCTCTGGAAATAGAGTCATACAGGAAGCCTGTTCAGTTTTATCAAGCCCCGATGGGTTGTTGGCCCCCAAAACATGTTGGATACTTTTTGCCTTCCTGAGATCTGAAGTTAGCAAAAAAACATTTAGGACTTTTAAATCCCATCTCCGGCCAAAAAAAAAAGTTTTCCCATAATAGAGATATACTTACGTAATCCTACAATCCTCCTCACACAATACCGGTTCTGTTTGGCTTCTGCCTCCCCCCAGTGGTCTAGCGGCGTTGTGCGGTGGACTGTTCCTGACATCATCAAACCTTTAGACCTGCTCTGGACACGAGGACGTCAGGAACAGTACACAGCTGGATCATGGGGGGAAAGCTGTTTGCTGGTAGAACAGAGGATTGGGTGAGTATACTGCTTTGAAAGTAGCTCTGAGGAAAGGGACTCGTCCCCGAAACGCGTCAGCAACCTGACCACACTGACAACTAGAACACCTTGCCCGTTGATGGGGCCATCTCCATTATGCAAAGCTTTTTATACATGCTATGTCTGTGAGTATGTTTTTGCCTTTTACACCGTTTAATAAATCTTGGATAATGCACAAGGTATTTGCGCCACCTGTCTGCTCTTTTCCCAGTGGTTGATTTACCCCATCTGAGGAGGGCTGCATCCCTGATGCATTGTCTGTAGGCCATTCCTGTCCTGGTTCCCTTGGCCTCCCTTTGGCAATTTATTTCCTGGAGTGCTGGAGAGTACACGCAGTTATCAAGTATACTGCTTTCTCCTATCCCCTTGACAAAATGAGCAGTTGGTCCATGTAGTGTGGGCACAGCCCCACTGCATGGGAAAACATTTTTCTGCCCAGAGTTGAACCTTAAGACAACCAATTGGTACTCTTTTTTTGGCGATTCACTTGGATTTCTTAAGTGAATGGCCTAGGTTTAGTCATAAAGTCCAAGTTTAAAATAAAGTGTTGAGTCTTAGTCTTGAGTCTGAATGGTCTTGAGTCTGAATGGTCTTGAGTCTCAATGGTCTTGAGTCTCAATGGTCTTGAGTCTCAATGGTCTTGAGTCTTAGTCTTGAGTCTGAATGGTCTTGAGTCTGAATGGTCTTGAGTCTCAATGGTCTTGAGTCTGAATGGTCTTAAGTCTCAATGGTCTTGAGTCTGATCCTCATATCCGCTTGTTCTTTAAGAAGAATTCTAAGTACGGATATTTTCTATATTGCTACATTGGTCCAGCTTGGGCCCATGTAACTATTTATTCAAATATCATACTTGTGGGATCCCCTTAGAAGCTGGAAATTGTTCTAGTAGCAACCACTACTCCGATGATCTCCACTATCTCCTGGGCCTCATACCGATTGGCATCCCTTCTGCATTCCAAATGAAGAATGTGGGCCACTCAACACAGGTGCCGTTCAGAGATTGCTTTGCATTTTTCTCAATAGATGCAAAGAATTCTCTGACTAGATGAGATGGAGAGGTGGTGATATCATGTTGTCCATCTCGTCCAATCAGGTCCATTCACTGAAAAATCACAACGCATTTTTTAAATGAATGGCACCTCTACCCGGTGGTCAAACTCCTATGTTCAGGGAGAGCATCTGGGCACAGGACCCAGAAACAAGTGGAGAACACTGGAGTAGCGGTGGAGTAGTGGTGCCTACTACAATGATTAAGCTTCTAGAGGGATCCCACAGGTATGGTACAGTACAGGTGAAACTCGAAAAATTAGAATATCGTGCAAAAGTTCATTTATTTCAGTAATGCAACTTAAAAAGGTGAAACTAATATATGAGATAGACTCATTACATGCAAAGCAAGATAGTTCAAGCTGTGATTTGTCATCATTGTGATGATTATGGCTTACAGCTCATGAAAACCCCAAATCCACAATGTCAGAAAATGAGAATATTCCATGCAATCAATAAAACAAGGATTGTTCATAGAACAATATCGGACCTCTGAAAAGTAGAAGCATGCATATGTACTCAGTACTTGGTTTGGGCCCTTTTTGCAGCAATTACTGCCTCAATGCGGCGTGGCATGGAAGCTATCAGCCTGTGGCACTGCTGAGGTGTTATGGAAGACCAGGATGCTTCAATAGCGGCCTTCAGCTCTTCTGAATTGTTCGGTCTCATGTCTCTCATCTTTCTCTTGGCAATACCCCATAGATTCTCTATGGGGTTCAGGTCAGTTTGCTGGCCAATCAAGCACAGTAATCCCACGGCCATTGAACCAGCTTTTGGTGCTTTTGGCAGTGTGGGCAGGTGCCAAGTCCTGCTGGAAAATGAAGTCAGCATCCCCATAAATCTCGGCTGCGGAAGGAAGCATGAAGTGCTCTAAAATCTCCTGGTAGACGGCTGCATTGACCCTGGACTTAATGAACCACAGTGGACCAACACCAGCAGATGACATGGCTCCCCAAATCAACACAGACTGTGGAAACTTCACACTGGACTTCAAGCATCTTGCAGTGTGTGCCTCTCCATTCTTCCTCCATACTCGGGGTCCTTGTGCCTCTCCATTCTTCCTCCATACTCGGGGTCCTTGGGCCTCTCCATTCTTCCTCCATACTCGGGGTCCTTGGGCCTCTCCATTCTTCCTCCATATTCGGGGTCCTTGTGCCTCTTCATTCTTCCTCCATACTCGGGGTCCTTGTGCCTCTCCATTCTTCCTCCATACTCGGGGTCCTTGGGCCTCTCCATTCTTCCTCCATACTCGGCGTCCTTGGTTTCCAAATGAGATGCAAAAGTTGCTCTCATCAGAAAAGAGGACTTTGGACCACTGAGCAACAGACCAGGTCTGTTTTTCTTTAGCCCAGGTAAGACGCTTCTGATGTTGTTTGTTGTTCAGGAGCGGCTTGACAAGAGGAATACGACATTTGAAGCCCATGTCCAGGATCTGTCTGTGTGTGGTGGCTCTTGATGCACTGACTCCAGCCTCAGTCCAATCCTTGTGAAAGTCCCCAACACTTTTGAATGTCCTTTTCCTGACAATCCTCTCCAGGCTGCGGTCATCCCTGCTGCTTGAGCACCTTTTTCTTCCACACTTTTCCCTTCCACATAACTTTCTATTAATGTGCTTTGATACAGCACTTTGGGAACATCCAACTTCTTTTGCAATTACCTTTTGAGGCTTTCCCTCCTTATGGAGGGTGTCAATGATGGTTTTCTGCACAACTGTCAGGTCAGCAGTCTTTCCCATGATTGTGATTCCTACTGAACCAGACTGAGAGACCATTTAAAGGCTCAGGAACCCTTTGCAGGTGTTATGGCTTAATTAGCTGATTAGAGTGGGACACTTTGAGCCGAGAATATTACACCTTTTCACAATATTCTCATTTTCTGAGATTGTGGATTTGGGGTTTTCATGAGCTGTAAGCCATAAGCATCACAATTATGACAAATCACGACTTGAAATATCTTGCTTTGCATGTAATAAGTCTATCTCATATATTAGTTTCACCTTTTAGGTTGTATTACTGAAATGAATGTTTGCACAATATTCTAATTTTTTGAGTTTCACCTGTATATGTATAGTCATATTGGTCCAAGGTGGGCCAATGTAAAAATATCCTTACCTTAAATTCTTCTTCAAGATCAAGTAGATATGAAGATCTGGAATAAGATTCAAGATCATTAATTGGGCTTGATGACAAAACCCAGGCAGCTTAACCAAAAACTGAGTCCCCATGAAGGGGCAAAGTCCATCCCTGTAATTCTTTAAACTTATTTTTGGGAAATTGGCTTTGAGATTTGCATAACAGAGCACCCTAGGTTTTGGGGCTCCTGGGGCTCTCCTGAACCTCTCTCGTGGTATGCCCAGGTCCTCTAGAGAACCACTTTGCCGAAATGCACAAGTATCTCTGCAACCCTTAGAATGTAGACGCTGCAACAGGGGCGGACTGACAACTCATGGGGCCCCCAGGCAATAGAGGATCATGGGGCCCCTGTGTCCTTGCCCAAACTCAAAAAAGCCTATGAAAAAGGTACCAGGGGCATCTCATGGGGCCCCCTACTGATCCCGGGCCCTCGGGCAGTGCCCAAGTTTCCAAATGGTCAGTCCGCCCCTGCGCTGCAACACCCCAATAATAAATAAGCATTGTCTACATATATCCTAATATTGCATACGTTCATATTACTCTGAATTAAGCTTTCCTTTACTTACATTCAGAGTTGGCCGACTTGTCTTTCCAAAAGCCGTGAGTTCATTCTCAGCGAGAGCCAAAAGCTCGCTCACTTTCCAGCTGAACCAACCTTCGCTGCTCCTTTGACTCAGACATTCCAACACCATGACGCCCAACCAAAAAAAGGTGTGGAGCTATTGTGTTAGGAGGGGACCCGCCTGTAGAATAAAACAAAAGTCACAGCTTGAGAAGTCAATTTGCCTAATTGGCCAAGTAAAATATCAGCGCTCTGACATCACCGGCCTTAGCAACAGAGCCAAACAGCTGTGAGGTGGAGAATCTCCAAGAGATTTGGTGCCGCACAGAAGGAACGGATGACAGG